ACGACTACTACGACTAATACGACTACAACGTTTATAACGACTCAAACGATACTGCGACTGCGCTTGCGCCTGCGCCTGCGACTGCGACTCCGCTTCTGCTGCTCGGGCTCCTGATCCTGGCTGCTGTCGTGATACCTGTGATTATGACATGATTGCAGCATTACATCCTGCAAGTGAAAGCAACGGATTTGTTTCAGGTCTCCGAAGCGGAGCTCTTGTTGGACAGGCTTGCTGCGGCAGTTCTTGAAACTGTGATCGACTCCATTTTCCTGCTGGAGGTGAGAAGGGATGAGAACTTGTAGGGTTTAGGGTTCAGGGCTTTGGGTTTTGCCTACTGGAGGTGAGGAGGGTCTTAGGACGTGGTGTTTAAATGCTTGGGTGATTCTCACAGGCGAGTGCAAGCAGTGTAGTTGCCGAACTGCAGTGTGTTTGTGAGGTGAGCAGAGCCTTCCGATCATGTTGCAAGGCTTGGAAAACACCGATATCGTTTGGCCGTATCTCTTCTAATCGTTGATGCTCCAGTATTGCCTGGACTTAGGGTTTCTGATTTGTTAAGCATGAGGTCGGCATCATTAGTAGCAATGGTGTGAATAGTGGCACTTGTACGGTCCCTATTATGGCTCTGCCATGTTACATCCTGAACCCCTGTGCTAGGGATGAAGGCCCCTATGTTCGGAAAGCCGAGGCTTGGCAGACCGCTTGAAACAGGCGCTCGGAACATCGGCACCCAACAACTTGATGGACCCAACCTTTACACCGAAACCCATAGACCGGAAAAATGTAAACCCTGAACCCATGAACTCTAAACCCTAACAGATCGTAGCGTAAACCCCAGCCCATGGCCCTGAGGTGCTTCTTCGTGTGCTGTCGGCCCCTTCGAAAACAGCGTATATCCGTGACCTTTACAACTGGGCTGACATGGTTTGTTGCTTGGGGCTACCGTTCCGCATTGCTGTAGGCATCCCTATCGGGCACCCTGGCAGGAAAGCAAAAGCGTGAAACTAAACGGCGCACCCTGAACCCTAAACCCTAAACCCTAAACCCTAAACCCTAAACCCTGAACCCTAAACCCTAAACCCTGAACCCTAAACTAAACTCTAAGGACCCATGTTGACCCCTCAACCCTGGACCGATGAGGACCCCTGAAACTCCAAACCCCACATCCAAGAAGGAGAGTCTGCTTAATAACAATATTATTCCTTAGGGTTCCTTATTATAACTATACTACTCAGGAGCCCAAAACCTTCTTCTAATGATTAAGGTCCCTACATTACTTCGGGATAGGATCGGTGTCTGTTATTTCGGAGGCTTCCTGATGATCGCCATACCAGAAAAGCACCAACCCGCGTATTCTAGTTGCTAAGGCAGGATATTGACACTGTGGAGTTGGGGGGAGGGTTTAGGGGTTTAGGGCTTCGGGTGCAGGATATATTCTTTTTCCCTAAACCCTAACCCTAAACCCTAAACCCTAAACCGACGTTCAGCCTAGGCACCAGGACCGGCCTTTCGAGATCTTCCTGCTCTTTGTCTTGCCGGTGCTGCGTCTTCTGAAGCTGCTCAGATACTTCGAATCCTTCAGGACCCGAGCCTCAAAATTGCTTATTGCAGGTCCTATTGTAGGTAGCTTAGGTTTAGGGTTTAGGGTTTTTGTAGGTGTTAGGGGGGAAGTTTAAGCTTGGCAATAACTTAGAAACAGGCATGGTGCTGCCGAATCACGAACAAGGAGCATGAAAAACCAAACATGCTGATGCTCGTGGAGGCTGTCGAAGCCGAGGAAGAATACTCTTTCGAGGGCTTGGCGGCCACCTTGATGTTGGTGTGGGTCCGTGGTGCTGATAATGCTGATGGCTTTGATGCTTGTGGTGATGATGGCAAGGATGAACATCACGATGATTGCAGTGATGATGATTAGTGTAATTACCTATGTCGTCGATAATGCCGCTGATGATCGCACAAAGCTGCTATGGTAGTGATCGCGCCAGCTTCCCCTGGTGGAGTGCCAATCTTCACAGTTGCTCTCCTCTCTGGATGAACCGGGCTCAGGCATTAGGTTTAACCCTAAACCCTAAACCCTAAACTCTAAACCCTCTAAACCCTCTAAACCCTCTAAACCCTCTAAACCCTCTAGACCCTAAACCCAAACCCTAAACCCTCTAAGCCCTCTAAGCCCTCTAAACCCTCTAAACCCTCTAAACCCTCTAAACCCTCTAAACCCTCTAGACCCTAAACCCCCTTTAAATCACTGGTTGCCTCAGCGCGAGACTCCCTGGCAAGGCTTCCGAAGTCTCAGCCCTGGCCAGAGAAATCCTCAAACTTCCGAATCAATAAACCCCAAAACCCAAACAAAGAAGTTCAAAACCCTGACTCCTCAAACCTAAACCCTAAACCCTAAACCCTTAAACCCCTAAACCCCTAAACCCCTAAACACCTAAACCCTAAACCCTAAACCCCCTAACCTTGAACTCCCGAAACCCAGAAGCCGAATTCCCCTCATTATGGGATTTGAGGGTTTAGGGGTTCAGGGTTTAGGGTTTTAGGGTTTTTAGGGTTTAGGGTTTAGTTATTTGGGCCTTAGAGACTCTGTTCTTTTTACGAAGGTTATTTTTTTTAGAGGCTTGAAGCAGCCAGCCTAGTGAATCTCGAAGCTTCAACACTCCTCAACCCTACTCTCCGTTTCTAGCATCGCCTAAACTCCCAAAATCCCCCAGAGCAAGCCTTAGGTTGGGAACTCTCATAGGAATCCCTTTGAGGAAACCCTCAAAGGTCCCTTTTGATTACAGGAGCACTTCAACGAGCCTTCTAGAGGAATTCTTATCGGATCCCTTGAAGGAATTTCGTAGCGGCAGATTTTGTCAGATCCCTCTAAACCCTAAACCCTAAACCCCTAAGCCCCTAAGCCCCTAAGCCCCTAAACCCCTAAACCCCCAAACCAGCTCCAGGATTTTGGTCGACGCGGCCAGCAACGTTGTCGCTTCCCTCCCCGTTCTCCTCTACGTACCCGAGATGTAGATTTGGGGGTTTAGGGGTTTAGGGTTTAGGGTTTAGGGGTTTAGGGTTTGACGTAAGGGCCTAAATAATTACCAATACTATTTCGGGGGTTCCTTATTCTAATTCTGGTAAGATGGGCCCCGAAACTCTATTCTAATTGTCGAGGCCCCTACATTAGGATGTTTTAGGATCGGGTTTGGGTTTGGGGTTTAGGGGCTTAGGGTTTAGGGATTAGGGAAGCAGAGCCCTGAGCTTTTGAAGGTCATGGTCCTCCTCGTAGTCATCTCCTCCAACGCCATCTACCTGGCAGAGTCCCGTGAGAACATCCCGTCCCTCCAGCACTCCGTTTGGCTGGCCGTCGTGGCCCGACCAGAAGTTTGGGATCACCTGCTTCCCTGCAGCGCTGCACCACTACAGTGCCGCTACGCCACCACCGTCACCACCACAACCACTACACCGGTACCACTACCACTACCACTGCTAGACGTAGTTGCTCCGTTACTCCTCCTCCTCCTCCTCCTCCTCGTCCTCCTTCTGCTGCGGTTTTTGGTTGTGATGCTACTGAAGCTACTACGACTGTGACTGCTACTGCTACTGAATGAACAAGAACCCCACAACTACAACTACAACTACAAGCGCAGCAACAGCAGCGGCAGCAACAATAGCAGCAACGACAACAACAGCAACAGCAACAGCAACAGCAACAGCAACAACAACAGACAGCAGCAACAACAACAACAACGGCGACACCACCACCACCACCAACAACAACAACAGCAACAACGGCAACAACAACAACAACAACGACAACAGCAGCAGCAACAGCAGCAACAACAACAACAACAGCAGCAACAACAACAACAGCAACAACAGCAACAACAACAACAGCAGCCAGCAGCAGCAGCCACAAACACAGCTACATCCATGGCCACAGCCACAACCGTCGCGACATCGACTTTTTGCAAGGACGATGACGCTCCGATAAGAAAACACAATAAAAGAACCCAAACAGCGACAGCAGCCACTACGACATCAGCGGGAGCAAGACTAGGAGCAGGAGCGGAAGCATGAGCAACATGGCGAGAAGCCACCACACAGCAACATCAGCAGCAAACAGCTGCGGCGGGCGTGACTAAAGCTCTACTGCCAATTGAGACAGGGTGCGTGCGACCTCCATAGCTTCACACTGCACCTCCAGTGTGTCTGCTGTAAGGTAATCAGACGGCCTGGTGTGGCAAGCGGCGCGGATGCGTTTGCTGACCTGGTCGTAGACCTCCTTTGGGCTGGCCAGCGTCCTGCAATGCTGTTTGTGAGCAAGGATGACGTAGAGCCTTCGGCGCGATGCGCCACTGTGCCCAACATCCGCCATGTCCACATGCAACGGAAAGATTCCGTACATGTCACCCAGCAAACTTTGTATCACTTCCAGGTGCATGTCCTCAGAGCTTGTAGCCGTTGATTACAACGACCCAGCCTTGAATGACATGTTGTCAGTGATAACTGCCTCCAAGGTGCTGGGGTGTTTTCTAGAATGGCGAAGGGAACCTGGTGCCGCCGAAGACGAGCTGCCCATATCACGAATAACGGTCCTGTAGGTCGCTCTTCAAAGCATCGGCCAGCTTTGGCCCTCGAATTGTCGGTGCATGGCAAACCGCTCATGTCCAAATCAACTTCTGGCAATGGGCAGTACCTTTGGTGCGTGACACACCAAAGCTTCTCCACGAAGGGAGATCTCATCGCAGCATCTCGGTTGGCTTGGAAACCTAAGCATCCATGCATGGTTTTTGCAAAATGGAACACGAGCAATTCAAGTGTCATCTCAGACTTCATGTCAGACAAAAAGCAGGCATCAGGGCTAATGGTACCCTCCGGACACATATCCTGCATGTCCTCAAACAGGCACGGCTGCTCGTGCAGCCACCCGGCAGCACGACAGCACCAGGCATGATTGTCCAATATACATTGATGACAATGGCGAGCTTTCTCCTAAGACTCGCAAAATCAAAACGACGCATGACGGCTAAGAGGATGCACTGAGGCCGTGGCCCATGTAGCCACGGACTTCATCGCGACATCTTGCTCCAAATAGTCAGTCCTGTTGATGACGGCCGAGCACACTGCAAGTGCAAGCTCGGCGGTGTAAGCGCCCGTGCACATGCTGGAGACCGCGTGCACTGATGCCCACATACAGACCTGAGCATAGATGCTTGATTCATGCAAAGCTGCCCGACGCCCTCCGTCCGTGGCCCGTGCCTGCAGATTCACTGGACCCACAATATCCCGGAGCATTGACCAAGCTTCCTGCTCAACGAGAAAACCGCTTGGAAAAAAAACTGAGGCTGCTTTCACGTACACATCTTGTCCTCCAAAGAGCCAGCTGAACTAGCGAGGCTGTCGGTGTGCCGTGCAATGCTGGGGTCCTCCAGAGTGAACTGAAACTAGGCTGAAGCCAACTCTTGCAACAAGCTTTCCATCTGATCGCGCAATCTGGCGTTGGTCCAGAACCTAAACATGCAACACGGGGTGACTAGCCACCCGTCCTCTGTCCGGCGGCGGACGACCCGAGACATGTCTGTGGCCGTCTCAAGGGATTCCGAAGCCAGTGTGTGTGCTTCCAGCTGCACAGCGGCCATCACCGGCAACATCGGAGGGGTCTCACAGCTTGTCATGGACTTAACCCTAGCTGCAACGGCTGTCTTCGTTTTCCCGCACTGACCTGCTATGTAGAGTCGCAGGAGCTGCCAATGAATGAATGCATGTGCTTCAATCTTCTGAGACAGAGAATGTCGAGGCTAGGACAAGAACAACTTCTTCTGTGTCACGGCGGACGGCTTACGTGCACGGGTGCTCGAGGCTCAGGCGAGTGGAGGTCCAAAGCCGCCCAAAGCTTTCCAGGGGCCTCGGTATAGTGTAGGAAAACAGCTGATGAACACACAATCTTGCCAAGGACTCAGGTGCCAGCAGAACATATAAAAGATTTCGGTAGGGACTTTGGCTATGTTGGATCCGTCCATGGTCATCTGCGGCATACACCATGCACAGTGCCATCGAACTTCTGGACAGAGGAAAGCCCCCGACGTGAAACACATGTTGGTCAGCAAACTCGGCACGCATGCGTGCCGCGTATGTCACCTGGGAGTGGAGATCAGGCAAGTCACCAAACTGATGCAAAACGTCAAGGGCTGAATCAATCTATGCTGGCCACCATTTCGCGATAGGCGAAGTGGCACGGCGCCATCTGCCAATTTCCAAGCGCACGAGAAATGAACAGCTCCTGGCTATTCCCATGCAAATGCAAACGGAAAACACACGTCGCCGGAAGTAGACTAAATGCTCACACCAAACACACACCACAGCCTCTGTCCTCACCATCTCGCAAACTCTGAAGTGCATCCAGAAATGCTCCTAATGGCATCTTGCGTCCCTGGGATCTTTGATGACGTGGTCGCTCCAGTCCACTGGTTGCCAGACGCATGCATTGGGTATCCTGCTGGTGCGTGGTCAACAAACACATACTTCAGCTTTAAGTACAGACTTCACATGTTCCGCTCCAGTCGCTGAGCCAGCTGAGAAAGAAGGCTGTTGACCACGCACCGCAAGCATCTGACAGCTTCGTCCGTTTCATCCTGTGTCCTGAGAAGCTGACATCGCGCAACGACGGGGAAGAAGCTACAGATTCAAGTTGCAAGCTAGTGGCTTGTTGTAAGCAAAGGCAATCACGTCTGCAAGGTCAGGAAAGCCAAAGGGAGTCCGCACCGTGGGATTGCGTTCATCCTCCTGAGGTACTGTGCTTGCCAATAAATTCTTTGATCGAACCTAAGGACAAGCATCTCCAGTGCAGGAAAGCTGCCAACATCTGCTGCCAAAGCAACCGGCATGTCTCGTGCCGGCCACCGCAGTGATCCCACAAGCATTCCCCCCTGATGCCCCCGTCCGAGGTCACCACACACGCCCGAGGGGTGAAGTGCTGCAAATCACTAATCACCACTTTCCAGTTCCCGTCAGAAGCTAGCTGTCGAAACAGGTCCTTGAGTATGGCGTGCGCCCTGGACACCGTGCTGCCACGCTTCTGTGAATGGCTCACTGCCCAAAACAAACTGGCGATCACAACTGCAGTGCCAACGGTTTTTTCAGGCATTCTGCCTGCAAGCTCGCCCTTGCCCGTCTTAACGGGCAGTGGCGCCTCAGGCACCATTCCAGGCCACACAGTATGGTGACATTCCGCAATCTGCTCTTGCATAGTCTTCTGAAAAAAAGATTTTTTCAGGGATTTCCGTCTGTCTGAAGGCTTCGCTTGATCCGTGGTGCTCTGCGGTACCGAGCCTGCGTACAGACCTTCCAACAAATAGGCCACTGCCCACTGTTTCTGGTAGCCCTCAGATTGTGCTGGAACTTCTCTACTAGTCAGTGGCAGACAACGCAAATCAGATCAGTCAGACAGGAAGCTTCCACGTCCCATACAGGGACCCGGAAATCCAAGATCGCCAGCTTGCCTAACTCGACGCAGTTTGGAATCTTGTTATCCTGTCCCCCCGCTGGCAAGCAATCGCTGCTGCTGCTACACAGTAACCGACTCAGGAGCAACAGCCGAGAAACGTTCTTGCAGCGTTTGCGCAAGTGGCTCGCCCATGGCTAGTGATTTTCGGAAGAGAGCATGACGACTGGGCCGCTCAGAAGGCCTAGCTACATGATTAGAGGGAGACAGCATGACGAGTGAGCCGCTCAGAAGGCCTAGCTGCAGACTGTCCTTTCTGATGTGTCAAGCCTCAATGCTCCTGCTGCAAGCCGGCTGCAGTTGCCACCCTGTGGCATAATCTTCCGGCTGTCCTATGATAACCCCAAAGCCCGGATAAGTCAAGGATAAGTCATGGATGACAATCCTACGTCAATCCTGCATTAATCCTGTAGCAATCCTATGATAATCCAAGGCCTCGGATAAGTCAAGGATAAGCCTAGGATAAGCGTAGGATTATCATAGGGTCAGACCGAAAAGACAAATCCTGTATTAATCCCTCAGCTATCCTTGGGTTATCCCATGGTCACTCATGATTATCGTTGGATTACTATCGGATTAGCAAACCCCCCCTCCCCCCACCCCCCTTCCTACAACTTCATGAGAGTACGCCGTGTAGGGGATGCGTTTGCCAGACGGTTGGAGTGCGGCTGCCGTGCGCAAGTGCAAGCCGCTGGCTGACGGAGAATTTGAAGACAAACAGAGCTGTGGCAAAGTAGTAGAGCTTGCGTATGTGGAACAGGAGCATGATGCACCAATTAGAAAGTCTGCTGTGTGGCCAGCCTGTCAAGTCGGCAGCTTGCGCGCACAGCTACCTTTTGCCGGCACGGGTTGCCGAAGTGTTGAAAAGGATGCTTCAGCATGTCTCGACACCAGCACTGAGGGCTGACAGAGTGCAGCGAGAGGCATGGGAGTCGCATCACGCGCAGACTCCTGGGCTTGCCACTGTAAAGGTGCGAAGAAGAGCCGCTGTGTTGACTGATTCCTCACTGTTTCGTGAATCAGGTTGGATTCGGACGGTTCCAGACGCCTAAGTGGATAGCCTGTGAACTTTTGCGTCACAAACTCCAAGTTCGCTCGGAGGACCGCGGGAGGCCCGGAATTTAGGAACTCGGGAGTCGGGAAGATGCGGACATTCGATTATGCAGGGGGCTAGACAGCCCGAAGTGCAGGTTTCGGTCAGGACGTGTACGAGTCCTAGGAGTCGTGTANNTAGCGCACGAAGTCGAAACGGGGCAGTGCGAGCCAGGACATGCCTTGATACGGAAACCTTGGCTTGCTGTTTTTTGGAGGTAGTGCACATGTGACGGGCGCGGTCCAAATTTGTCCGTGGCAGGCAGAGATATATCACGGTTGTCACGGTCATGCTGGGCACGACACATGTCTTTCGTGCTGCCAAATCCCCTAAACCCTAAACCCTAAACCTTAAACCCTAAACCTTAAGCTGAATCGGCTGACCCTCATAAACCAGACCAGGACCCTCGGACAAACCGTGGCTATCTGCGTGTGGCGCACGTCGTTCGGACACATGGGTTATTGTGTTGGATGAGCTCGGCCAGAGCTGTGGCATTCCCCCGAACGACGAGTTGCTTTGCTTCAACTCCGAAGCAAACCAACTCGTCATTCGAGGGAGTGCCAAGCAGGGACGGTCCGTCAGTTCGGAAGGCGTTCGGTTCACGTTGCTTCGGGCTGCTGTGGAGACCATGGTCGCTGCCACTCCGGCCGGCGGTGGCCGAGCCGTGAGACGCCTCGCAATGGAGGCCATCCTCCGACTATGCATGATGACGTTAGGCATCGTAGACATGCAGCACGTCATTTTGTGTCTATTCCTGCTGCAACGACTCTCTATCTCGTCGTGGTGCAGTCGTCCAGTACGCTTGTTCTCGTCCACCTTAGAATTGGTCTTGGATGAGTCGCAATTCTAGTCAAGGTTGCTTATGTCAAGACATCAATTCCCGTCGCCTAGAAGAGGTCTTCAGGTCGTACAGACAATTGGAGTGTTTCAAGTACACAGAAAGTCGCACGGTGTAGGGCAGTTGCAGAGAGGCGTGGAGGCTCCCCCCTCGCTCCTGCTCGGAGGTCTGACGCATGAGGTTACAGAAGGAAGCCCGCCGGTCGTTGCTTTGGGCGTGTGCGATGTTTTTTTTTTGTAGCTTGCATAGCTCGCTCTGCCTAGTGCTCCTCTCTTCCTTGGGTTGCTATTCCTGTTGGGGTCAGGCGGTTTTGCTTCCTTGAACCAGACTGCCTGGCTCTCCTTTGAGCAACCGGTATTGCGAAAGGGCTCGGTTACTGTGACAGGTCTTTGCAGCTAGTAACTGGGATTGTTAGAGGGCCACGAGACGCGTGCACTGCCAGGGCTGCGTTTGCGCGGCTCCGTGCCCGGGGTCGGGTCCTCTGACAGTGTTCCGGAGCCAGGTTGAGGCACTGTGACAGGGCCGTTCGGATTCGTGTCTGCATTGCTGCAGTTTCTTGGCTAGCCCCGAAGTCTGTTTGCATCGTGGTGCCAGTCGGCTCGATGAATCTAACCGCCGGAGTGCCCCTTTACGTGCCATGGAGAGGACAGGGTTGACTATGACGTTGTCTGGAGGCCCCGTGTCCGACCACGATGCTGCACGCGGTCTGGGTAAGAATGCTGGGTGGGGGTGAGTTGCGTCAGGTTCGTCGCGAACCTCGCCGCTGCATCTATGTGGTCTTGAAAGTGGCGGAGGCCGACGTGGCGCCCAATTTCCAGAGGCTGTGCAGGGCAGCGGTGACGGTGATGATTCTGGACAGCGGTGCGGGCTTGTTTCGTGTGCAGAACGACGAGGCAGCGAAGCGCAAGCGGGAGCAGCAAGACGAGGCTCTGCGGCCCACCGACAGTTCGCTCATTGGCCGGCTGCTGGCTTTGCGGGGAGAAGGAGGGGACAGCAAAAGCCGCCGCCGTGATGAGTCCGAAGCTTGT